CGTCCTGCACTCTGCCCTCGCCATCCCAGCCTGAGCGGCTGATCGAGCTGGCCCTTCCACTACGGCCACTCGTACTGGCAGCACCTGGCCGGTCAGAGCGTGGACGAACTGCTTGAGCGGAGCGTGGACGAAAGTTGGCTGCTTACTCTGGGGACCTTCCTGGAGCCACTCGGTCCACTCGTGCGTCGAAGCTGCGTCGAATGTCCGTTGATCCGAGTCGACCCTCGAGTCGAACCTGAGTCGAACTTGCGTCGAACTAGGGTCGAACAGATCCGTTAGGTGGGCCCCAGGAAAGTCACCCAAACGAGCAAGGTGGTAAGGCAGGGGAAACAGCGCGAGGTGGATGGCAGACAAGGGAGGGGCGTAAGTATGTGCCGCGATCCCCACGCGCAGAAAACAAACATAAGCAGAAACAGGGAGGTTACGCAGACGGAGAGAGAGAGGATCGCAGCAGCGAGGGGAGATGACCTTCGACGTTCAATGATAATCGGAAGCGGGAGAAATTCTAAACTCAAAGATTCCACTACCCGAACATCTGAAAACGTTGTTGCCGTAGCACGACTGCCTCGATCTACGGAACATGCTGCTGTCCGGAACCCCTCCCCGCACCGGTGGGCCCCGGCTCCCCCGGGGGGCCTGAGCAGCTGAAAGCACTGCCCAACCCCTGACACAGCTGTGATGCCTAACATGCCACTTCCAAAACGATTCCTCGGATGAAAACACGCGCATAAGGGAACATGTAACGAATCCCGCTCTGAAAAACCTCTCCAAGACCCCTCCGAACACACGCACACATACACACACCTGGCCATGCGTCCAAGCCACGTCCGACAGGGGGGGTCAACTGAAAGCCCTCGGTTGTTCTAGAACCAGCAGTATCTGTCGCCGACTTTCAGGCTGAACGAGACAAACTGGCAGATATGAATGACGCAATCATTGATAATCAAGTGCAACAAGCCAGTGGGTTACAAGCCTCGCGCCTCCCGCTGGGTATTGAGAGATAGGAAATATAAGTAAACAATACACACATACACGTGTGCTTGCGTGCGCCGCGGGTATGTGAATCCGTTTGCCAAATGAGCCATTAAGCCTGACGACGATCAACCAATCTGGTTGCGTTGCCAACGTGGGCAAAAGAACTCTGAACTCGCAGATAATCGTAATCATAAGGTCGATGATGCGTCACTGGGCAAGATGTGAAGAGAGATGGCCATGCCGATGCTTTTGTAGCGTGGCGGTCCAGACACGCGTCCTGGCGGCATGCTACCTTGCGGGCTCAGCCCCCACGTTCAGGGCCTGGCACCGGAAGACGAAGACGTGGGATGGCCTCGGCCGACTCCCATTCCACAGGAAGCGGAAGAAAGAATCCAGAGTTCGGGTCGTCTTCCTCCTCCTCCTGTTCCTCCTCATGTTCCTCCTCCTGTTTCTCCTCCTCCTCCTGTTCCTCCTCCACCTCCTCCTCCTCCTCCGACTCCTCCTCCGCCTCCTCCTCCTCATCCTCCTCCTCCGTGTCCCCCTCCTCTTCCTCCTCCTCCTCCTCTTCCGCCTGCTCCTCCTCTCCTCCTCCTCCTCCTCCTCCTCCTCCTCCTCCTCCTCCTCCTCCTCCTCCTCCTCCGTGTCCTCCTCCTCCTCCTCCTCCTCCTCCTCCTCCTCGGACGAAAGCGGGGGACGCAAAGCGGGACTCGTGAGTCAGCCAACACCACGAGCACAGGGGGGCGAGCGAGCGAGGCACGCCACCCGGAGCCTGCCGTCGAGAGGCGCTGAGAGGGGGAGTAGGGAGCCGAGGAGGAGGAGGGGGCGGAGGAGGAGGGGCAGGAGGAGCAGGAGGAGGAGGAGGAGGAGAGGAGGAGGAGAAGGAAGGAGAAGGAGGAGGAGGAGGGCGGAGGAGGAGGAGGAGGAGGAGGAAGGGAGAGGAGGGGGAGAAGAAGGAGGAGGAGGAGGAGGAGGAGGAGGAGGAGGCGAGCAAGCCGCCTACGCGGAAGACGCCCTCGCGGCCTGTCCCAAGGGCAGGCGGGGAGGCCGTGCCTCCTCTGTCCTCCTCTGCCTCCCTCCTCCTCCTCCTCCTCCTCCTCCTGCACCTCCTCCTCACCTCCACCTCCACCTCCTCCGCCTCCTCCTCCGCCTCCTCCTCGATCCACTTCCTCGATCCTGCTCCTCCTCCTCCTCCTCCTCCTCCTCCTCCTCCTCCTCTTCCTCCTCCTCCTCCTCCTAGTTCGTGTTCTCAGCCTAGAGTTATTCGAGCTGTTGGATGTTCGAGCAAGGAGTTCAAAGCGCTCCAGGGGACCTTAGTGGGCTGTACTCGTGCTACAAACCTCCTTCTCGATCCTCATCCTCGTCTTCCTCCTCTTCCTCCTCCTCGATCCTCAGCCTCGGTCCTCCTCCGCCTCCTCCTCCGCCTCCTCCTCCTCCTCGACCCTCCTCGATCCACCTCGATCCTCCTCCACCTCCTCCTCCCCCTCCTCCCTCCTCCTCCTCCCTCTCTCCTCCTCCTCCTCCTCCTCCTCCTCCTTCTCCTCCCCCTCATCCTCCTCCTCCTCCTCCTCCTCCTTCTCCTCCTCCTCCTCCTCCTCCTCCTCCTCCTCCTCCTCCTCCTCCTCCTCCTCCTCCTCCTCCTCCTCCTCCTCCCCCTCCTCCTCCTCCTCCTCCTCCTCATCCCCCTCCTCCTCCCCCCCCTTCTCCTCCTCCTCCTCCGCCTCCTCCTCCTTGGTCTGCCCGACCACCGGGCCAACAAGGCCAGAGGACGCGGAAGCCGCCGAGCAGACTCCACCCGGAGGCCGACTTCGGCGTTGGGCCCTGACATCGCGAGGATCGTTCCTCCTTAAACGATCGGCCGCTTCCGAAACGTCAGATCGTTCATCATTCACCGATTCTGGGTCGCTGGCGGAGTTCAACGTTGAATGCCAGCGGCGAGGTCGCCGCTGATCGACACGACGAGAACCTACCGGCGGATCGTGGGCGGAAAACATATCCGTATCCAGGGGCTGGAAAAACTGGCCCCTGGGCCGCGACCCCGCGGATACGGGGCGCTTGTGTCGCGAATGCCCCGCGCGGAACGTGTCCGTGCGACCGCGTGTTCGCGGGATCGCGCCCTGGAAGCCAGACAGCGAGGGCGCGCATACGAATGTGTTCGCCGATCGTGGATAGACTTAGGTCGGGCATGTCCTCCTTCAGGCGGATTTTGGGCGAAAACAATCAAATAGTCAAAAAAATCGGCCCCAGCCTATTTTTTGACTATGTTTGCCCGACTTAGCCTTAATGGGTCCTGGAAGCGGCAGGGCAGTTGTTCTACAAGTTTTCCAAATCATGCCTCTTCATTATGACTTGGAATCCCGAAACGGTGCGGTGACAGACCGTGCGGTGACCTCGTAATCCTCCAAGACCTCACCGCACGGTCCGTCAGCGCACGGTCTTGGGACCTCGGATGCCCCCAATCGCCCGGGACGTCTTCGGAGAACGACCCGAGCCCAAAAACCGTGCGGCGACCCCGAATCCCCACCGACTCACCGCACGGTGTGGCCACCACCCCGTTTGGGGGCCCCCGATATGAAAGCGGCAGAAGCACGGTCCACCGGAACGGCTCACAGAACGGCGCACCGACACGGCCTGGGCAGTCCGAAGATCCAACGGGCACTTAGAAACCGGTTCGACAACGCTTCGGGTAAAGCGTCTGTGGAATGGGCCCCCCCCCAAACAAAAAAACAACGGCGCCGGAGAGATAGAACAAATGCGCCGGAAATGGCAAAACAATGTTTTGAGGCTGGAAATGGCAGACCATTGAAAACAACGCAAAAGGTAAAACAGCGCCGTGTCGCTTCCAGGGCCCACGGAGTGCGAGACGAGTGAACATTGTAATAATTATGGAGGCGGGAGAGCGCGGACAGCCGTGCGGGGCTAGGACAGGGACGAGTCGTTCCACGACGCGGACAGCGTCTGGAACGGTCTCGGACGAGTCTCGAAACGCTCTGAGAAAGCCGCGGCGCCGGATACGTCCTCCAGAACCGATTCATCCCTGTCTGATGTTAGCCCTGTCCTGGCTTCGCCCCAAGAAGCAAGGGTCGCTACGTGCTTGGCCCGTTGGTCTAAAGGCATGTCGTCGCAATTAAACTCCCTCCAGCCTGCGGGCCGCAGCCCCTAACCCAGACCGAGGGGGCAACAGAACTTGAAAGGGTCGGCGCCAGGCCACGACGCAGTGCAGACAGGAGGGGGAGGAAAACGACGACGCTGGCACTCTCGGCCCCAGTCGACGCGCGGGAGCTGGACACGTCCTCCAGATCCGTCCGATTGGCGACCTCCGATTCATCCCTGTCTGTAATTACCTCTGTCCTGGCTTCGTTTTCTAAAGGGTCGCTGGCACCCTCGGCCCCAGTAGACACGCGGGAGCCGGATACATCCTCTAGCACCGTCGGACTGGAGACCTCCGAGTCATCCCAGTCTGACTTTACCCCTGTCCTGGTGCCCAGACATCCAGACCTCTCGACCACTTCCCCGGGACCGGCGTCTCATTCCAAGTCGTTCTTGGACGGCCCCGAGGCCCGGTAAGGGCCCCGAGAGGTCGAAGACGATGAAAAACCTCTGTTTCGTTTTTTTCGAGACACCAGATGTCTGGGTTTCGTCTTCAAAATCGGGGGCGACCAAGAGGGAGGCGTCCAAGAGATGGGGGGCGCAAATCATGTCCGGCGGCGCGTGCTCGTCCCAGGGGGGCGCCAGGGACGTACTGACATGAACAGAGGCGCCATGACATCGGGGGAGATAACATGGCCCACGAACGATGATGTCCCCCCTCATGGTCCTCACCCCCATCTTGGCCGCCCCAGACACAAGGGTCGTTTGGGGGTATGACGTAACGCAGGCACGGAGACCATCTGTCCGACGACCAGGGACCGCTGGGCTGGGGCAGGCCTGCATCAAACAGCGCGACGGCAACTGAACAGCACACGCTGCTGCTAGCCACCACAGACGAATGCCTCGTGAGAAGCAGGGTAGATGATAAGGCGGTGGCATCATCTGGCCGTAGATCCATGGCGCATGACTGTGGCATACCGTCGAGGTGTAATTCGCCACGACCCAGCCTGATGGAACATTGCTTAGCGTGCACGGCACACAATAACACACAATGACATATTCGACAAGAGCGTCGTGCGCCCTGATGTACCCGGCTCGCCAAGAATGATGTGGGCCCCCTCCACCTTTCCTTTGTCCTATTTGCCTCTCCCAAATCTAAATTGGGTGCGTCCGACTGCGCGCCCGCAATGGAGACGGAAGGCATCGGCACGATGCCCAACAACAATGGGGCCTCGCAGGATCGCAAATCTTGTTCCACATGAGCAGGCACTCCATACTGTCCGTCCCCATTGCAGGCCCGCAAACTCTGGTGTCATGGTCCTACTGTCAGCGGCCCACGCCTATCGAACTAATGCTCCAGTCCGCAATGGCTACTCACATATCAGAAAACATCAAGCCGAACGAAGCCGCGCTTTCAAGGAACCTCAAACAATCCGGATGAGCCGAACATCCAGGGCATGCCTCAGTAGCATGCACGCATGAATCAGTCCCAGCTTGAACCAACCTCGAACACCATTGGGCACGGTAAACAAGGAGGCGACGCTAACGACACGCAAGGTCCAGAGGCGCGGCCACGAACGACTGATGAGGGCCAGGCGACCTTGGCGGCCGACGCAACCTCCGAATGGGCCCTCACCTGCTGTGCCTCCTCGCGTCCAGCGTGCAGCAGCGTGGCTGCGACGGAGTAAACTACGTGCAATTGCCCAGAAACCACCGCGGTACAGTCGGGGCGTTGACCTAGGGAACCCCAAATAAGGAACGAGGCCCCTTTTTCCCATGAGTTCAACCTCGATGTCCCATGGAAAACCCCAGGAACACCCGAGGCAAACTTTGAAACCATCCAGGAACTCCGAGCCCCTCCCCAACGAAAAGGGTTCCTTCTTCAGGGCCCCGGCTGCATCGCTACGACCGAAACCACAAGCAGAGACCGGCACGTACCGATTGACACTCATGTGCAGGATCTCGCCGGCTGCGTCCCCCGAGCCGCACGACCACTCGAGAGTCGAACCCACAAAGGAACTTGCGTTCGCCAGGTCTCGCCTGCCCAAACAGTCCGAGTCTCGCTCGGGCCGCTGGGACGCTGGCCATCGCTCGGACGTCCATTCCCCGTGTTTGTTTCGGTTTCGTGCGTGGTTTTTTCGCGAAATGGTCAAGGATGCTCCTCGATGGCCGTCGCCGAGGAAAAAACGCACACGTCCGAGCGATGCCAAGGGACGATGAGATCGCACCTGGAGAGAAATGATCATGCAATTTGGACGGTATGATCGCAAGTGATATCTAATCTCACGACTGGAACGAAACCATGAATTGCAGAGGTCGGGGGAGGAGAGAGCGCTCGACCACGGGGCAAGCATTTTGCAGTTCCGTAGCAACCGTTGTTACTCGAACCCAACTCTCGCACAATCGAGAAGAAACCTGTGTCGCCGGCCGAGTTCTCGAAGCTCCTGATGAACTGGATAGCATTCTCCCCCGCCTCGCCCCATTCCTGCAGGGAAGGAAGAAATAAACGGAGGGCCTCTCTGCAACACTTCCCGCACCCCTGTCCCATTCAGCACCGAGGAGGAAACACGTGTCACCTGTGGCTTCTTCGCTGTTAGTGCCTGCCCCAATACTTCATGGCGACGCTGCAAGCAAGTAGGGATGACAGGTGGCGCCGTGACGAAGGAGCCCCACAGGGAGGGGGAAAACTGATTGAAATAACAATGTAATGCGTAACGCCCTTCGCTGTTTGCAGCATCGCACGCCGCCCACCTCGTGGCCGCTTCGCCCCGTCTCGGGGAGTCCAGTGGTCCAGCGAAGGATGGAAGAGCGGGATTCCAATGCACCACCAAAGACAACCTCGCCTCGCTAATATGTGACTTCCCCGAAACACGGAAAAGAGACGGTCGGAAACACGCCGGGCGACTGAGACGTAAGCCGAAACGCTTCAGACATTCATCTTACTGGAGGGGCAACTCCGGTGTGCTACCTGAGGAAAGATGCCGACTGGAGATGCACAAAACGCATCCACTGCTGACTGGCATCGGGAGTAGTGCCATAAGAACTGAAACCACTGGAGACGTGAAAAACGTATCCACTGCTGGCTGACACTGGAGATTCTCAAGACAGGCTGGCATCGGGAGTAGCGCCAGAAGAACACACATGCGAGCAAGATAACCAGAAATCTGGTTTCAAACAAATGCATGGGGATTATGGCGGTGGCTGAGCTGGCCGCGGTTGCATGTCAGAACGTTCAAAACAAATTCAAGCGGGGCTGAAACGGCCTCCAGGCATGCGCAGCCCGCACCACGAAGCTGTAGGGTGAAGTGGGGCGTGTCCCTCTACAGGAGGAACATTCCAGAATAGTTAAAAAATGCAATGAGAACGATGTTCTACGATTTGTTTTTGCAAATGTTTGAACATGTGTTTTGACAATACTTTCTTTGTCCTCCAAAATCCGCCTGTAAGAGGACATGCTCGACCTAACTGTAAAGAAAAACACGAACGGAAAAAACTCCGTAGTGGCGATACGCCGCGAAACGGAAACATGAATGGGGCAGACCCGCTAGGCAGGTGAGGTGGAGAAGCCCCACCGCCTGCTCACGTTTCTCTGCGCAGCGGTTGGGTCGAGCTTCTTGGAAAGCCATCCTTCGCGCTCGGACGAGACACCTAACGAACAATGCAAGGGGGATAGAGCCAACCCCACCTGTTCACACGAGCCTTAATCAAAGAAAGGATCTCGCTCCTCTACGACCTGCAGCCTGCTCAAGACGTGTCTGGGCCGGACCCCGGCCGGCCGAGAGCCATCCCGGCAATCTTTCCAAGCCACATCCGGGGGGGACGAAACCAGGGAACGAGCGCAGAGACAAGCACTCGACCGACATGTTGGAAGACTAGACTGTTAGTCCACCGTGGTGGTTTCGACGACGACAGGGTGGGGTCAAGGAGTTGGGCGCTTCCCCATACAACCAATCGTCAGAATATTGACGTCGGTTCGAACACCAGAAACCGAACTCACGCATCCACCGCTCCATCACCTCCCTGTTGGAGTAAGAATGGGCGGAGGGGGCCGCGAGTCATGTCGCGGGGGGGGGGCCACTGTGGTGGTCTCCACGAAGCCAGGGTGGCGTCGGGGAATTGTGCGCTTCCATATAGAAGCAATCGCCAGAATACCCATCGGTCGGAAGAAGTAGGTAGAAACATGAAGTAGTAGAAACATGAAGTAGGTAGAAACATGAAGTAGATTGGGTTCCGTCCGCCAGACGATCATTGAAGTAGTAAGGCGCATAAAGTAGATTGGAATATGGGAATCCAAAAACACCTACTTTCGACGACCGATGGGTATGTCTTGATCTCAATTCGAACACAATAACCGAACTCTCGCATTTACCGCTCCATCATCATGGGCGGAGGGGGTCATGAGTCCTGTCGTAGGGGGGGGGCAGGGCGGTCGCTGAGAATGCCCACTCTGCATATATCGGATATCACCCAGGACGGTGGCTACTTCTCGATACCTATCATGGTGTTGCATGCCGCTCCTGCCAAGGCGCGAGACGGTAGACAGCAGCAGACTTCCAGCCAATCGAGCAGGTCACCAGATTGATGATCTTCTGCCAGCCGAAATCCACCTGAACGGGATAGCGATGTGGGACGCATGCCCCGTCGCTGCTACTGCACACACCTTAAAAGAGGTGCCCCGACGACCGAGGAAAACCGAACCACTAGCATCTGACGGATGGAGGGAGGAGGCGGAGGGAGGAGGGAGGAGGGGGGAGGGAGGAGCAGGAGGAGGAGGAGGAGGAGGAGACTCTATGCTCGCCCCGACACGCTGGCCCGGCCTGGCTGGGCCCAGTCGGGGCGAGAACGGCGCACGATTCCTCTCGAGGGCCTCCCCGCACCTTCCCAACGTCGGCTCCGTACCTCGTGGCCTGTCCAAACCCCACCCCGACGCCATCGTCGTGGAACGCTGGAGATGCCGATGTTGGTGAAGGGGCCCTGGGACACACACACACACACACACATATATATATATATATATATATATATATATATACACACAAATGACATGGTTCCCCATATTGTCCCATATGTTCTGGGTTTCTGTCTTCCCCCCCACTTCCCATATTTCACCATATTTTCTGGGGAATCGACGATTAATTGTGTCTGTGTTTTTTCCCCTCCTGAGTTGGTGATGACGGCGATGCTGACGATGACGACTCGGATGATGACGACCAGGACGAATCACGGCAGGGCCATGCATGGTCACGCTGTGCCGGGCCGACGCCGGAGCAATCTCGTTGCTGGGCTGCGCATGGCGTGGCTCGCTGAACGCGGATGGGTACGTTGCACGACTCCAGGACACCAGCACCCCAAGTTGACTACCTACCAGACCACCCCAACCCAACCCGAAGACCCGAATTTCGGGTTGGGAGGGTAAGGGTTCCACACGTGTTTTTTCTATGTTTCCCTACCCCCCAACTGGAAATCGAAGGTAAATCTGAGCCTTCGGGTTGGGTTGGGGTGGTTTGGTGGGTGGTGACAAGTAGCTTGCCCGGCATCATGTTGCGTCAATGTCATCTGCTCTAGGAAGACATGATGCCGGGCACATGACTTCCTGATCTCAGATGAGTTTCAGAATCCAGATTCTGAAGCCACTACCAACGAGGCTGAGAAGCCACCTCAATTCATGGACACATGATCGTGAGTTGGCTGATGCTGCTGTCAACCACCTGAGTGTGGTAGCTTAGCTCAATCAATAGAGGCGAGGTCGGAGAAGCCCGCCGCATCGCCGATGCATCGGCGCCGCCGGCGTGGAGATGATATGGCGCCGCATCGAGCCGCATCGGCAATGTAACGTCGATGCGGCGCGATCCTCCGACCCCATCTACTCGGACCGTATGTGTCGGGTCGGGCGAAAGGTGGGGGTAGCAAAGGGGGGATTTGAGAATCAGCTCACGCAGCTGATTTTCCCGGCGCCTCCCGGCGCCGGAGGCGGCCGTGTATCGAGAAACGGGCCCCTCGGTGAGGCCGAAACCGGCTGCATGCAGCAGATTTCGTAACCCCCCCTTTCCCCATCCCCCCCTTGCGCCCGGCCCGAATGCGGGTGGTCTGGGATCGAGAGAGGGTGGTGCCCACGGTGTTCCTAAGGGCCAGGGCGGGCGACTCCGGCAGGGAAGCAGACCACCCGACTGCGGTCGGCCGGCCACTGCAGCCTCGCCCCCTCCAGTGCCTCCTCACGCCTTCCCCCTCCTCCTCCTCCTCCTCCTCCTCCTCCTCCTCCTCCTCCTCCTCCTCCTCCTCCTCCTCCTCCTCCTCCTCCTCCTCCTCCTCCTCCTCCGCCTCCCATCCTCCTCCTCCTCCTCCTCCTCCTCCTCCTCCTCCTCCTCCTCCTCCTCCTCCTCCTCCTCCTCCTCCTCCTCCTCCTCCTCCTCCTCCTCCTACTCCTCCTCCTCCTCCTCTCTCCTCCTCCTCCTCCTCCTCCTCCTCTCCTCCTCCTCCTCCTCCTCCTCTCCTCCTCCTCCTCCTCCTCCTCTCCTCCTCCTCCTCCTCCTCCTCCTCCTCCTCCTCCCTCCTCCTCCGCCTCCTCCTCCTCCTCCCTCTCCTCCTCCTCCTCCTCCTCCTCCCTCCTCCTCCCCTCCTCCTCCTCCCTCCTCCTCCTCCTCCTCCTCCTCCTCCTCCTCCTCCTCCTCCTCCTCCTCCCTCCTCTCCTCCTCCTCCTCCTCCTCCGCCTCCCCCCTCCTTCTCCCCCTCCCCCTCCTCCCTCGCCTCCTCCTCCTCCTCCTCCTCCTCCTCCTCCTCCTCCTCCTCCTCCTCCGCCCTCCCCCCTCCTTCTCCCCCTCCCCCTCCTCCCTCCTCCTCCTCCCTCCTCCTCCTCCTCCTCCTCCTCCTCCTCCCCCTCCCGAAGGGGCCAGGCTGCGCCCTGGTGCTCGCCGCTTTGGAGGTGCCCCCCCCCCCCCCCCCCCCCCAGGGACCCAGGACGGTGCGAGCTGGTACTTCAGCGGGGCGTACCTGCCGAACAGCAGGATCTCGCCCTGGCTGATGCTGGCCAGCCGTGGAGAATCCGCCGGCCCCTCTGGGCTCGCCGAGCGCATGCGATCCTACTGCTCCGTCTATTCGTGATCCTCCTCCTCCTCGATTCCTTCTTCTTTACAGGTATGTGTGTTTGTATACATGCATAGATAGATGTATACACATATGTATGTATGTGTGTACGTGAATATGTATGTATGTATGTATGCATGCATGCATGCATGCATGCATGCGTGTATGTATGTGTGTATGTATGTGTGTATGCATGTATGTATGTATGTATGTATGTATGTATGTATGTATGTATGTATGTATGTATGTATGTATGTATGTATGTGTGTATGTGTGCATGTATGTATGTATGCATGTATGTATGTATGTGTGTACGTATGCATGTATGTATGTATGGATGGATGCATGTATGTACGTACGTACGTATGTATGTGTGTATGTGTGTATGTATGTGTGTATGTGTGTGTATGTATGCATGTATGTGTGCATGTGTGTGTACGTTTGTATGTCTATGTGTACGTACGTACGTACGTACGTACGCAGGTATGTGTGTATGTATGTATGTATGTATGTATGTATGTATGTTTGTATGTATGGATACATGTATGTATGTATGTATGTATGTATGTATGTATGTATGTATGTGTGTATACATATATATGTGTATACAGGTATGTATGTATGTATGTGTAAGTATGTATGTATGTATGTGTGTATGTATGCATGTTTGTATGTATGCATGTATGGATGTATGTATGTATGCATGTATGTATGTATGTATGTACGTATGGATTGTTGCATGTAAGTATAACTGGTGGCTGCTGTCGCTCCCTGAGGACAGTCGGAAGGCCGGGTCGGGCACTTCGCGTGAGACCTCCTCACAATCTACGACCATGAGGCTAAAACGTTGCAGCAGCTGCACAGATGGAGGGCGGCTGGTGTTCAAACTGTGGCTCTCGCCCTAGCGCCGCGCACATCCGCTGTAAAAACGCGCAAGAGATGAGCTGATAAAAAAAAACTGACAGGTATCTAAATATAGCTGTCACCTCGGCGCCACGCATATTCGTCTCGACATGCTTAAAGAGTGTAACGGCTTGAATGCGGCTCCTTTTCAAAATTTGGCTCTTGCCTATCGCACATAATCTTCTGAAACGAGTGCAGGAGTTTCACAGATCCTCATGGTAACTTACCAGAGCGTCATTTGGAGCGGTTCACGATTTTCAGGGCGCAACAGCTAGGTTGATTCGCGGTGTGAAATCCCAAGAACGGCTTGCTGGTACGACTCAGGGTCGTCAAAACGCACCAGTCAAGTTGATGAGCGGCGTTGAATGTCCGAGAATGATGAATTGGCGCGCTGCAGGATCTCCAAACTGTTGTCTCCCAGCGAACAACTTCCCCCAGTGGAAATGAACCTTGTAGGGGCATGTGAAGAGGGAGCTTGGGGGGAGGGCTTGCTCGAACATCGTTGATGAGACGTGGGTTTACGTTGAACCTCCTCCTCCTCCTCCAAATCCTCCTCCCCCATTCCTTTCATGATGAACATCTCCTCCCAATCGCACCCCGAGGCCAGTCGGAAAGGCGCGCTGGGCGTTTCGCCTGAGATGCCCCTACGATGTCTGAGCATGTAGCTTGAACTGACATAAGTTCCAAATATGGAAAGCGGGTCACCTTCACGATGTGATTCTTGCTTTAGTGCCGCGTGCATTCGTTTAGACGCAACAGAGAGGATGATTCGAGGCGTTGAAGTCCACAGAATGATGTTTTGGCACGCCTTAAAATGTTCATGCGGTTGTCCCCCAACGGCGCACTTCCCTCAGTGGGAACGAACCCTTGCGAAGAGAAAGCTTGGCGGGAGCGTTTATTCCAGCATTGTTGATAAGTCTTGGGTGTTACGCTGGTCCTCCTCCTCCTCCTCCTCCTCCTCCGCCTTCTCCTCCCCACCCCCCTCCCCGTTCTCCTCCTCCTCCTCCTCCTCCTCCTCCTCCTCCTCCTCCACCTCCAACTACTCCTCCTCCTTTCGCTTTGGAAGGCTATTTGTCCTCCTCCTCCTCCTCCTCCTCCTCCTCCCTCCTCCTCCTCCCCTCCTCCTCCTCCTCCTCCTCCTCCGCCTGCCTTCGCTCCTCCTCCTCCTCCTCCCTCTCCCCTCCTCCTGCTCCTCCTCCACCTCATCCCCCTCCTCCGCCCTCGCGCCGCCCCGCGCCCTCGCTCTCTGCGCATACCACCCGAGAGCCGTGCCCCCTCCTCCTCCTCTCAGCATCCATCCTCCCAAAGAAGATGGTGCTATGACCGGTCACGGCCGTTACCCCAGTGCATCGAGCGGGTGTTGAGCGGGGGGGGGCCTACAGGTAGGGAGCGCCCCTTCAGAGCCCCTTCAGGGCCCCTTCAGGGCCCCCGTTGACCCCCCATGAGCACCCTCCTCCTCCCACGCCCGTCCTCTCACGGTCGTCAGGCCGTGACCCGGGACATCGGGCGGGTGTTGAGCGGGGGGGGCTGTGAGTGGGGGGCGGAGAAAGGGGCCCCTCCAGAGCCCCTTCAGGGCCCCCGCTCTTCACCTCCCACGTAGTTCACCCCCCTTGAACACCCTCCTCCTCCCACGCCCGTCCTCCCAAAGATGGCGTGGTCCTTTTCCTTGACACGGCCGTGACCTGGGACATCGGGCGGGTGTTGCGCGGGGGGGGTCATGAGTGGGAGGGGGGCGGAGAAAGGGGCCCCTTCAGGGCCCCTTCAGGGCCCCCGTTCTTCACCCCCCATGTAGTCTACCCCCCTTGAACAGCCTCCTCCTCCCATGCCCGCCCTCGCCGCCAGCAAACGACGACAGACGACGACGACGACGACGACGACGACGACGACGACGACCACGACGACCACGACACAACGACGACGACGACGACGACGACAACAAAGACGACGAGGACAACGACGACGACACACGAAGACGAACGCGACGACGACGACGACGACGACGACAGGACGACGACGACGACACAACGACAACGACGACGGCACACGAAGGCGAACAAGACGACGACGGCGACCAAAACGACGACAACGACCAGAACGACGACGACGACCAAAACGACGACGACAACGACCAAGACGACGACGACGAAGACGACGACGACGACGACGATGACGTAGACGTCGACTGCGACGACGACGGGCGGACCTTATCGGACGGGTCGGGCGGGCGGACCCTATCGGGCGGGTCGGGTCGGCCGGGCGGGACACTACTGCAATCTGATGCGTATACAGCATGACACATGAGAGCCCCAATGGGCGGGTCGGGACGGGCGGACCCCTATCGGGCGGATCGGGTCGGGCGGGCGGGACACTAAAGTCTGATGCGTATACAGCATGACACATGAGAATCCTAGCGGGCGGGTCGGGTCGGGCAGACCCTATCGGGCGGGTCGGGTGGGCGGACCCTGTCCGGCGGGTCGGGTCGGGCCGGCGGGACACAAAAATCTGATGCGTACACAGTCTGCCTCCTCCTCCCCCTCCTCCTCCTCCTCCGTCTCTTCCTCCTTCTCTTCCTCCTCCTCCTCCTCCTCCTCCTCCTCCTCCTCCTCCGTCTCCTTCTCCTTCACCTCCCCCTCCTCTTCGCGTTCCCTCGCCCACTGTCGTTCCCACCCCTGAACCACCGCCCCCTCCTGCTGCTGTTCCTCCTCCTCCCCCGCTCCTCTCCCTCCTCCTTCTTCTTCTCTCAAGGCAGATGGAAGGGCGCCAGCGCAGATCTGCGACGACGTCGTCGTCGTCGTCGCCGTCCTCGTCCTCGTCATCGTCCTCGTCCTCAGCGTCGTCGTCGTCGTCGTCGTCGTCGTCGTCGTCGTTTGTCGGCGGCGAGTAGGGGGGAAGGGTTCGAAACCCCCTCGGGAGGGCCTGAGGAGGGGGGGGGGTTCGAGGCCCCCCCCCTGGCGCAAGCATGTGTCGTCGTCGTCGTCGTCGTCGTCGGCGGCTGCCAGCGGCTGCGGGGGGAGTAAGGGGCGGGGGGTCGAAACCCCCTAGGGGGCCCTGGGGGGAGGTTCGAACCCCCCCCTGGCGCAGGAATATAATGTGTCGTCGTCGTCGTCGTCTCCGCCGCAGCCGCCGCCGCCGCCGCCGTCATCGTCGTCGTCGTCGTCGTCGTCGGCGTCGTCGTCGTCGTCGTCGTCGTCGTCGTTGTCCTCGTCGTCGTCGTCGTAGGCTTCCGGCGGTTGGGAGGGGGGGGGGGCGGCGGCTGCTGTCGGCTGGGGGGGGGGGGCTCGAAACCCCCCGGGAGGGCTCGGGGACGGGGGGGGGTTGCACCCCCCCCTCCTTGTTCCGGACGGGGGGGGGCCGGTTCCCGAAACCTCAAACGACCCCCTCGTTTGCGGGGTGGGGGTTGGGGGGGTTTGGAAACCCCGTCCCCCCCTACCAGTTGCGCCAGAAAGCGCTCCCCCCCCCCTTCCTACTTTTGAATCCAGCGGGTTGCACGTACGATCGCTACTCTGGGTTTCTTAAGCAGCGTGGCAGGGCACCCCCCCCGGCCCGATGGGGTCAACCTCGCCTCGTCGTCGAGCTGCGACGGGGGACGGAGCGCCTTCGGCGCGCGGTGGCTGCCCACGCCGGGGGTCGATGTGGGGCTGTCGGCGGGGGTGACGCCCACCCGACGCTGACTAAGAACTCGGAATGCCGTTGCTCAGGGACTGGAAGGGGGGGGGGCAAGCCAGCCAGCCAGGCAGGGGCCTATGCCTGGTCCTCCTCCTCGTCCTCGTCCTCCTCCTCCTCCTCCTCCTCTTCCTCCTCCTCGTCCTCCTCCTCCTCCTCCTCCTCCTCCTCCTCTTCCTCCCTCTCCTCCTCCTCTTCCTCCCTCTCCTCCTCCTCCTCCTCCTCCTCCTCCTCCTCCTCCTCCTCCTCCTCCTCCTGAGGAGAAGCAAGAACAGCCTCCCGTCGGAACGTGCGCGCACGACCATGTGCGCGCGCGAGCCCGAAAACCAAGGTCGGGGAGACAGAAGCCTCGCTCTCGGGGGCCTCGGGCCGGC